ATAATTAAATGCATGCATAGATAATGTTAAAAATTGCCACACCCTCCTAATTCAGCAATAAGCTTTTAGTAACCATATCAGAACCCTCATCATGCCTTCAACATCCACAGGAAAACCAACTACCTTCAGATTCTGCACGTGGCACCAATGAAGCAAAAATGTGTATCTAACTCTGACTGTATTCTCCCATACATCACAGCAGACTCTGGCAGCCATCTGTTGAAAGGATGCTGTGCCTATATATAGCCAGACAACAACACAAGAGAAAGAAAAACTCATATCTGCACCCAATTCAGCATGTGCACCATTGGCAGATCTGCAAGCAATTTTTTTTACCGCCCAAACAAGCATTCACTCCACAAATATCCTAGCTAAAAATGATAAAAAACTTCAGTGTAAAATTATCTGGAACAAGAAAGTAACTTGGGTGTTAACAGGAGCATGAACAAGGGGGTAAGCAGCCTCCAGATATACAGATTTTATGGGTCATTTGCAAGCCCAATTTAATGCGCCAGTCTGTCAAAATAGCAAAAAAATGAGAAAAAATTCCAACAAACTGTATTCAGTACATTCCTAATAGTTGGCCAAGTCCTATATAGATGCACCTCAAGAGACCAAGGACAACTCCTAGATGACCTGAAGCCTGGGAGGTCTTGGATAATGAGCCAGTTGCAGCACTGGCAATGGTTTCTCCTCAAAAGGCTCAGGACAAGAGCAACAGGAGATGACACAAGACAGAATGAAGAACTGATAGGAAAACTCCAAAGAGGAAACAAAATGGGTGCTACCACTGTTTTTAAAAACCTAATCTCCTCAAAAACGGGAGTAATGGGGCCAGCACAAGTCAGGTCAGAGGTAAAGCCATGTGATTGCACATGATTTTGATTTTATTTTTAAAATAGTTGGAGGGGAGAATTGTGTGAACAAGCCTGGATATGCCTGGGACAGCAGGGGGAGCTGCGAGTCTGTGTTCCCCTCAAGGTCTGTTTAATTGCATTGAATATTTAGACAAAAGCACAGAAGTGTGCTCGCACATCACCATAGAAAAATGCCTGCATGTCTAACAAGCCTCAGAAAAAAAACAGAGTTCATAACAAAGCATTAAACAAGGAGCAACAGATAATTGTCACCTTCTTTTGCTAGATAATAAAAATAGTTACACCATAAACATAAAAATCTTTTAAAAGACCCCTGACAGCATTCCCTCCTGGAACTATCACCATAGCAATGAGCATCCAAGTAGAGGGGAAGTACTGCTGAATTCTGTGTTTGATATTTTCAACTAACTAAAAATACAAACTAGAAAAAATACACATGGGTGATATAGAATGAAGCACACAAACATAAAGAGCCTCAATTAAATTAAAGGTAGCAAATTCCACCTGAAAATCTTTAATACACCAAGAAAGAAATCCTTTCACTAGGCAGTGTACATTGAAAGTGCCTGCAGTTAACTGCAAACCCATCCAATAGCTGCTGTATCCAACAATTCCTACTTATAATACCTTGCACGGGTCTGTGTAGAGGCTCAGTAGCAGAGTATGAGGCAAAGATGCATGTTGAAGAGAAGGCAGCAAAAAGCCACACCGGCAGAGCCATACAGAAAACCTAAGGCTCGGAAAAGCAGGGCATCTTGTGTATTAAAATTTAGGCACACAGTAAAGCTCTGGGGAGGGGTGCTTGCGAAGTAGAAAACCATGTCTTCTCTCACTGATGCCATTAAATAGTTCTTATTTCCAAGCCATTCAGATTCAAACTTTAGATTAAATAAAGGAGAAGAGCCTATTGTTTTAAAATTCTTTTTCCAGATGCAGATGTCAGGAGCTCTGCTGTGCTGAATACACATTGAGTGGGTACTTGAGCATGTACCAAGCATCTGTGTCTGGGAGATGGAAAGCGCTTTGTAAAAGGCTGTTTTATGCTAAACAAATGCATCAGGTTATGTTTTTATTTTGAATATTTTAAAACAACTTGCATGCTGGGGCAGAATTGAAAAGAAATTATACAGACAAGTTGCCATTAATTGCACAAGTGCTGAATACACATTGAGTGGGTACTTGAGCATGTACCAAGCATCTGTGTCTGGGAGATGGAAAGCGCTTTGTAAAAGGCTGTTTTATGCTAAACAAATGCATCAGGTTATGTTTTTATTTTGAATATTTTAAAACAACTTGCATGCTGGGGCAGAATTGAAAAGAAATTATACAGACAAGTTGCCATTAATTGCACAAGTTACTATCTCCACAGCTGAAAATTGGCTGTGGGCTCACTTAGGAGCACTCCAAGCTAGTGAAAACCATCCTTAACAAAACCTGCTCTGACTGCTGCACCTTAGACAACTGGAGATCCTACATCTAAAGGTACTTCAGGTCCCACTGCAAGCAGACAAAGGGACAGTCACATTTGTCACAACATACCCATCAGGGAAACGACAAATTCAACACTGCAAATTCATAATAGAATAGGTATCCAAATAGGCTGAGATGGACAATGCTTTCTGACTATGATGACAAAAAAACCATAATAGCACATGTAGAATAGAAAACAAAACAGGCATCTGTTTGAAAATTTGCCTTTAGCTTGTAGTAGTCTCTGAGATAAAAGTTCTCATTTTCACTGACAGACTGTGAGGGAAATATCAGAAATAAGACTCTGTACTGTATTTGCTTATGGAACCTTTTTTCCTTTCTTCAATGAGGGAAAAAATTAATCCCTACAGGAGATGACAAGATGCCTTTTAAACTACATATCTCATTTCTGACTACAATTACCTTTCAATAGCCTGGCACAGCTGCACGCTCCTATTTGCTTTTTTTTTTCATTAAGGGCTCCTCTATTATTTGTACCCATCCTATAGAATTTATGCCTGGCAGTGATGCACATTCCCTTGCCTACAATTCTTTCCACAGATAGTAGAGGATAAATTGCAATTAGATTTTTGTAATTGTAGCTAATTAACTCAAAATGAGCTGTTAATTATAAAAAACCCAATGTTTTTCAGTTCTTGATTATATTATTTATTTTACTTCTAAACTCCAACATCTCACTTCAGCAAATTTAGCCTTTTGAAGGAATTTCACCATTTCCTTTAAAATACCAGGATATTTTAAAGCTAAGTTTTGCTTATTTGAAGACTGAAATCAAGTTTCATGCTGTGAGATTTGCTAGAGGAGCTCTCATGTATGAACTGCAAGTCAGAAAGGGCTGATTTTCCATTAGTGTTCTGCTAGCATTTGCCGTAACAAAAACTGTTTGACATGTCAATTAAAAAAACAAATAACAATCAGCCCCCCCAAAAAAAACCCAAAAGCCCCCACAAAAAATAGATAGTTAAAATAAACGGATGTATGCCTACCAGCTCTTTCTCCTTTCTAAGCTCTAGACACACACTTGCACACTGTCTCTCTCTGTTCTGAAGAAAACATCACTTAGATATTCAAATGCATAAAAGAGACAAATGGACATGTCTTCTGCAGCCTCTTTAAGCTTTACATTAGAGTAAATTATTTAGGGACCATTCATCTGGTAACCTTTGCAAAACTGAAGATGGCATATAGCAAGAAAAGATTTCGAAGTGTTTTGCTGCCAAACTTTGTAAGCAGCTGGCATGGCAACTTGAGACTGCTCGAACACACATTAACTTTGAAAAATTACAGTAAATTAAACCAGTGGAAAGAAGAGAGGGTACGGAACCTTTTGAAATCTGGAACTCTCATTTTGTTAACAGCACAGGCTTTCTTAATTTTCACTGTTAAGCTATATAGATATTTGCAGGGTTTTGGTAAGCTGTTGCCAAGAAGCCCTACAGATGTTCTAGGTTTTACATTTTTCCTCCAAGGGGCTTAATGCTACTGCATCTTAAACATATCATGACTCTCCATCTCTTTTGTTACGGTCATAATACTTTGATCACTTCAGGTTTAGTGAAAATAAAACAAAAAAGCATTAGAATGGAATAAGGATATGCCAGTAACTCGCAGCAGCCAAACACCTGGTTAAGAAGTGAAGTATTCCAAGGAAACTAAGAGCTCCTGTTGTTCTGGAGAAAAAAAGCTTTATACCTTTTAAGTGAAGAGGGATCTCAAAAAATAAAAGTTAGTGTCACAAAGTGAAAAAACAAGAAAAAAAATAAAGTACCCATAGGTTATAAAAAAATTATCAGTTCTTCCAGTATTCTCATAACAGAGAGAAAAGTTTATTATTTTAAGGTATTCTGTTGTCACTAAAGAAGGGACCATTCACAGTACAGCTGCTCATCTTGTCCATCAAACAGGGCATTCTTTGGTCAAAACAACATCTATGGTTAAAGCACAGAACAAGAAGCTGTTACTTTCTGAGCAAAACCTTGCCAAATCCAGTTTTTATTTGCTGCTTTTCTAATAAGCCTGAATCTTCTTCCAGTGTTAACAGGAAATGCGACAGGGTAGGAGAGAAAAAACCACAATAATGTATTGATTGAAGTTTTAAATAGCAAGCAAGATGGAGATAAAGCGCTAAATATTGGCTTAACTCTACTTGCAGTTATTTCCGTGGTAGTTCACTCTGATACACTGAAGCAGAGGTGCAACACAATGTATAGAAAGTAACTGTCACCAACTGTGAAAAAGATCTGAGAGTTAAAGGATAATATATTGTTCACTTCAGGTCCAAATCCAGACTAAAGACATGTTCTGATCTTAATTTTAAAAATAACAAGCAGCACCTAGAACAAAGAACAAAAGCTAAGATTTTGTAAAAGATTTTGCAACCGGGCTAAGAGGCGTCACACAAAACCTAAGACCTCTTCAGGAAGCCAGGCCCTAAACCTTGAGTAATAACAGGTCAGCATAACTATTGAGTTGACTCATAAAACACAGCAGTAAATGAATTTTACCTTTCCTGCAGAAAAAAGGTCTTAATCTGAGACAAACACATGAACAAATACACTTGGCAGCCAACAGCACACTGTCAAGAAGATATACCGACACTGTAAAGCACTTAGAAGTGAAAAGAGAAATTACCTTAGCCCCATGCTGTTGCCGTTCATCATTAGAGCAAGTTGTCCGGGTGCTTCAGCAATGGGCACATCTCCTGAACCAGGTACAGGGCCTCTAATCCTAAAAAAAATGAGTTTGTTGGTTTTGCAGCTGGTCAAATTACCACACGAGGATCTTGCCACAAAAAAGGTGACCTATGTGACTATAAACAGGGCACTTAAACATATTAAATGCAGCAGCTTCATGATTGCTTTCACACTTTCATATACACTTTTGTATTGGAAGGCTGACCTACGTCCAGTGCCTTTGCTTCTCAGGGTTACCACTGGGAAACAGAAAAGTTTCATTTACCGCTTTTCAATGACTAGCTCCCTTAAGAAAATGGTCACAATATCCAATAACAAACATCCCTGTTGGGCTCAGATTACAGCTTTAGCAGCACCAGAGCTCAAAGGCATTGTGTGTAAACTGCATAAAATGCAGAATTTGTTTGAGATGCTTGTGTCCCCTGAAATTATAGGACCACAGATGATGCTTCATTTTTAACAGATGACTCCACCTTTTCCTTTCTCTCCAATAAAGATAGAAAAGTCAAGACAGAGGTGGTACTTTTTTCTTTGAATAAAATTGCTGTTTCCAGGCTTTGCTCATACTGGTCTACACTACTGAGGCTGGCATTGGAAGGAGCCATTGAAATACCTCTTTACAATCCATTTTTGAAAGTCACATAAAGAGAAACTGAAAACTCAAAGTACTATGCTCACTTGAGGATAAATAGGGAAATGTGGAAAACTAAAATGTAGTTATGATGCAGTGTGGCAAAAAAAAAGGATCAATTCATACTTCAGCTAAAAGACCAGAATGGTAACAGTCAATACTGCAAATGGTCAGACCTTTTATTTGTCATTCAATGACAATACTTTCAGTAGCTCAGAATGGATCTTAACCAGTACTAAGCCTTGCAGAAGGACAGACAAAAATAAACACTATCTGGGAAAGGATTTTTGTTGTGTTGTTTTTTAAAATAGTCATGATGTTCTATGTCCTGACAATGAAGCAAAGGGTATTTGAGCCTAGCTAAACAAATTTTTATTGTTAGTAGTATATAAAATTACCCTGTTACCAAGTGCAAAAGTGAATTATATGCCTGGAACTGAAACAGAACTGTGATGCCTAAGAGACTCACCTGTAAATCTCAAACATTTAATTCTAAAGACACGGAATTATTTCTCAGAGAAAGCAATCTGTATTCTAAGTTGTTTTCTGAGAGAGAATATGACAAATCTGTCTTCACCCACACCTCTGAAAAGAGATCACAAAAATACTGTGTCCTCAGATTGATCATATATGACTTTCTTTCATAGAATTCTCTTATGTAGAAAGACCTCTGAAAAACATGAGGGTTTCTTTCAGAAAAAAAAACGCTAAAATAGATAAAATGGTATTAATAAGTACATCAACACATATATTTAATACCCATGTTTTTTCTGGACTTAAGATGCCTCAAATGCTTAAAAATATCCATTAGGAAAAAAAAAACCTAGCAAAAATTCAGTCTGTATGTCTTCCATATCTACTTGTTTTCCATTAAAGGGATGCATGCATAGAACTAAGGTATTTGATGAAGAATCCATCTGTTCCTAGTTAGTTCTCACCTGAAGTCATAATCCTTTGTTATTGACCTCGGTCATTTTCAACACACACAATTGTGACTGCCTTTAAAAAGGTACTTTTAAAGCCATATAAGCACCTTATTTTCAGTGTAAACAACAATCCAAGAAGGCAAACAAAGGACCACCTAGATTACAGCATTCTCTTTTGAAAAGTAAACAGGGGTCTGGAATTAAGAAGCAAAAGCGCTGTATTCCTCCATGGTTGTTATAACACATGAATGTAGGAAGTGGGTCATGTAATGCAGACTCTCACAGGACACTGTCAGCAGTTGCCATATTAGAACAGTATAGAAATATGCATCCTTGTGAAACACTCCTACTGCCTCTTCTAAAAGATTGCTAGATTTTTTTTCACCCCTTTGTTTTTCCTTTCTAATGCTGAAATGCTAGTACACAACTGAGTTACACTGGCTAACTCAGCTCACTTTAACCTGTTCCCATTCGCTGTTCCTCTCCACTCAAGTGACATGATATCAATAAACCAGTTGATCCCTCTTTCTCAGAGACTCCATTTACATTCTCAGAAGGATGTTACCTCAGCTTCTGCAACTAAACTCACAGGCCTTTCAAGCCACATTTCATATTTCTACGGTTGCTGTCATTCCCTTCTAGTTGTAAGCATGTATTGTGCCACAAACGCAGCATTGTCCCTTTCACAAACATTACTGGAAAGTATACAGAGCTAGCTTTCTTTTCCATAAGTATATGGGGAAAAATATATGTTCCATATAGATATCTTTATATAAATAAAGTGATCAGCACTCTGGTATGTATGAGTGTGGCCAGCAGGGCTAGGGAAGTGATTCTCTCCCTGCAGTCAGCACTGGTGAGGTCACACTCTGCAGACTGTATCCAGTTCTGGGCCCCTCAATTCAGGAAGGAAATTGAGGTGATGCAGCAAGCCCAGAGAGGGGTAGCAAAGGCAGTGAAGGCTCTGGAGCACAACTCCTAGGAGAAGCAGCTGAGGGTGTTTAGCCTGGAGAAGAGAAGGCTCATGGGTGACCTTATCACTCCCTACAACTATGGGAAAGGAGGTTGTAGCCAGGTGGGGACCGACTTCTTCTCCCAGGCAACTAACAGGGCAAGAGGTCTTACGCTGCACTAGGAAAGGTTTAGGTTGGACATTAGGAGGCTTTTCTTCACAGAAAGGGTGATTAGGCATTGGAATGGGCTGCCCAGGGAGGTGGTGGAGTCACCATCCCTGGAGGTGTTTAAGGAGAGACTGGACATGGCACTTCTTGCCACGGTCTAGTTGACAAGGTCGCGTTATGTCATAGTTTGGACACAATGATCTCCAAGGACTTTTCCAACCTAATTGATTCTGTGATCTCCATCGTTGCTGTAAAACACACTCCTTCCGGTCCCTACCCAGAAAAGTGCAATACTTCAAAACTGACCTCTCCAAGAAAGGAGGGAGAATGCTGTATATATAACACCCACGCTCACGCTGCTCTCTTGCCAAATGTCTTTATTCCTTCAAGTGCCTACACTAAGATCAACCTTGCATTTTCTTCTACTCTTTTCCTACCTAGTCTTTTAGAAGTCCTTTTCTTGTGCCTTTCTTTCTACCACATACTGTTTTCCTCTGCTGCTTTCCACACCTGTCATGTTGCTTCCCAACAGTATACACTAACATACTAAAAAGGCTACTCTCCTCTAAATCACTGTTAGAATTTGTGCCACAAGTCTTGCCTATCTTGTTTTATCAGTTCCACTCTCCCACTTTAATCAACTGCTGCCCACATGTTTATTATAAATTTAAGAATTTCTTTTTTAAATTATAAATCTAAAAATCACCTGTTATGATCCATACAGGGTTGGTGTTGTTGCTGACGTTTTAGGAGCAATTTTGCTTCTTGCTTAGTCAATAAATGTTGGAGTCGTTCCTTTTCAATTTCCAGTACTGTTTTCTGCAGAAGCAGCTTCTGCCTTCTTTCTGCATACAACCTTTTAGCCTGCTCTGTTTCTTTAGGCCCTGAGTCTGTGCTGTGATTCAGTCCAGAACCTCGACAGTGCCTAGAATGATCACAGGTTTTGTGAACTGGTCCAGAGTGTTTTCTAAGTACCTGGGCGACACAGCAGCTCTCTTCCATGCTCCCTACATGACTGGAGGCACAACCATGACTCACTTGCTGTGGACACATGCTCTGAATTTCATTTCCTTTCTGGTCCATCTCCCGAGTTTGTTTCACACGGTGAGGGCTCCCCTGCATGGCTGGGGAAATCATGTTGTTACACTTCCTGTGCACGACATTTTCCATCGCATACTCCTTAAGACACTCCTGATGGTTGTAATGGATTTCAGTCCTGTAATCATGATTATTTCTGCAAGGCTGAGACAATGCAATGTGGGCTGGGCTTCCACCCTTTGGTGCTCTACTGTTCTTACAAAGAATCTGAGGTCCCTCAATACCCAAGCAGCCACCATCTAGCTCCAGAGATGGTTGTTGGCATGAACTCTCCTGACTGGATACCTGCAAAAAGAGAAACAATTTCCTGTAAATGAACAAAATTTATCTTTGCTCACCAATTTTCCCTTAGTAAATGTGTTCTCTAATAACCAGACTTGCTGCTCCATGCTGATGGACATACAGCCAAACCCAAGAAAACGTTACCAGAAGACACAGATCTGCTATCAAATGTACATTTCCTTCCATCTACACAAGTGTAATAAATGTAAAACTACTGCCTGCAGGATCCTCAGCATAAAATGAGTCACTTCAGAGTATCAAGTAGTTGTGAGCATCTAGGGTTACATAAAATCAACTTGAAGAGTGGCAAAAAACATTAAATGTTAAGGTTTGAAAATGTTTAATTTTGAATACCGAGCCAAAAAATCCATTCAGCCACTGTAAATACTCTTTGATTGGCCATTACACAGCAGGAAATTTGATGTAAAACATTTCACCTTGCACTGAATGGGATATTACTGCTGGAAATTTGATGAGAGTTTTTGAGATATCTTTACAGAAACACAGATAAAAACCAACTACTTTCTGTAAAAATTGGTTGTACATCAAAAGCTGTCATTTAAATACAAAACATGTTTAAATACAGCTATAAACGTAAGTGATTTTTCAATTAAACTAGGCAAGTGATTATAGTCTGATAAAACTCTGAAGAAAGAAAGCAACTGTAATTCACATTTGTCAACTCAGTGCAAGCACATTCTAGTGGTTTTGTTATACTCATAGATATTATGTAACAGACATCACAATCCTACTTACATCCTGAAGCATCTTTGCACTATGGTTCATCTAGGCAGCTCAGTATTTGTGCTTTTAGGCACATCAGAATAGCAGTGCATCAGGCACTTACATTTCTTTTGCTAGACCTGTGCATGAATTTCAGTAACAAACTGAATTTAAACTCCTCCAGCCTTTGGGACCTTTAGCAAAGATCTGGGTTTTTTTTTAATTACAGAAGCTGGGTTTGTTAAGGATAACAAAAGCACTGCAGTATAAGTGGTTTAGCAGGGAAATCTGGAAT